TGTAGATATACACATTTGAATAAAGGTTGCTTGCATGCAAGAACTGGGCCTTACCCTTTCTCTGTCTCTCTTCTTAGTATCCAGTGTGTGGCACTGACCACACAACGTGTTCAACCAATCCGGGAGTCACTTTCTGACTCAATGCTTCCCAGACATTTTTGGACTCCCCAAATGCATTACAGGACAATGAGTCAGAAGTCACTTGAGGACAATGGTTTGTAATTGCAAACATTCATATCACGGTTACTAAGTGAGGCACTGTTTTATGCTTTGCATAAATTAACTGAATGATTCTCAAAGTGTGACCTCTAAAGCAATAGCATCCGTGGTACCTGAGAATTTATTAGAAATGCAAATTCCTGAGCCCTAATTTAGATCCACTGACCCAGAAACTCTGGGGGTGGAACCTTACAACTTACATGTAACAAACTCTCCAGGTGATTCTGCTGCATCTGAGGAGATTCTGGTTCAATAGCTCTGGGTAGGGTTTAAAGCATTGCATTTCCAACAATACTGATGCTGCTAGTTTAGGGAGCATACTATGAGAAACTTCTGTTTGCAGGAGAAAACTGAAGTACCAAAATTAAGTTGTCCAAAGTCACAGTTTAGAAGACCTGATGAAAATCCAAGCAATTCGGTTCCAAAGTATGGGTTCTTTACCACTGCATTATATGTCTACCCTTTCTCATAAAGAATGGCAAGCGGCAGGCAGGTATTCTGTGCATGAGGATATCAAAGGTCTTACTGTAGTCAGCAACCAAAGCATACCAAACTGCACTACACAAGAAGAAAAACACTATGGTCTCGTTTCTCAAATTGAGTAGTATGGTAATAACACCATAGGTCTACTCTCATGAAGGTCAGTTGGGGTTCTATGTTTATAGACTGCTTCCCAACTCTAAGAAAGTATTTTGCAAAAGTGTACTTTGACAGCAACCTCACATCCACAGGTTTGGTTGATTCAAGACAAATCTATCTCTGGACTTGAAAAATAATCCCTGAAATGCAAAACAATTTAACACTATATCACTCTGGAAGGGTGCCAAGTAAGCATTTCCAGTGTTGGCAAGTATTTTTCAACATACACTATGGTCATTACGATCCTCATAAGTGGAAAATTGAGTCAAATATGAACGCTGGCAGTTCTGTGCTGTAAGTGGCCTTGAGGCCTGGGTGCTCACTGGGGTCTCTGATCTCAGTGTCTAGCTCCCAGGGGAAAACATGTGTTGCATGACTTCAGCTAGGGCTGAGATACAATCTGAAGCTCACTGCTTACACCTGAAAATGGCTTGCATCTATCCTGTCAATTCACAACTGGGCTGTGGGTAGGAATTAGTCGTAATAGTTAATGATAATAAAACATTAGTGAGTCCTGAGAGACAGGGAGAAAGAGCTTGACATGTAAAAATGATTCTTGTTATGATGATCGAGGGAAAGGGCTGAAGGTGAGGGACAGAACAGAGAGAAGGACCAGAGAGGAGACAGGGTCAGTGGCTCCACTCCAGTCAGACCATAAACAGTAACAGACATTGCAGCCCTGTCTTGTGTAAGGGGCTCCATTGATACACAAGGTTCCCTGACAGAAGGATGACGAGAAGCTGAGACAGAAAGGACCCATTCATTCATGCAGAACACTAGCTCTCAGCCCCATTGGCTCTTGATAATGGCTCCAGGCTGACAGGGAGAAGGGGGCAGGGGCGGACGGGAGGAGGAGATAAAAATGAAAGAAAAATGATGACTACAAGATTGTCCCGAAGAAATGTACAGCTGCACAGGCAATTGCATGCAAATGTGGCTTCCCTTTTTAGCTGTATAGCTAATGTCCCCAGAATCATCTTTTTTTCTCTTTCATATCATTTTCCTTCCCTTTCTTGCCTTGTCTTTTTTCTCAGCCTCCCCACTTCTTTTTCCCTTCCCATTCATTTTTCATCTTCTCTTTCTATTATCCTCTACCATACTACCAACCTTTATTTTCTGTCTACTTCCACATAGCTGGTCTTTCTTCTTCCACACCCCTTCACTGACTGTTCTGTCCCAGTGACTCCCAGCCTTGGTTACTGAGTCTTCTCTCTCCTCACCTGGTTAGATTTTCCCCATTTATGTTTTCTCTCAGATGCATTCTCTCCTTGACCCTCACTCCTTCCCTCTCCTCCTCCTTAGCCTCTGCCCTTCGTAAATAGAAACAACTTCAAGGAAGGTTGCTGTGAGAGGTCCTGGTCCTTCCTTGAGGGCCCCTCCAGTCGGCATTCCAGTCACTGACAGATGTGTAATCCTTGCAAAAGAAGTTCATTTATCCCTTCTGAGAGCACAAATGTGAGGGGGAAGCAGGACTGGGAAGTAGCCATGAGATGGAGGAAGGGAAGGAAGCTGAAGTTATAAATAGGATAAAAGAAGATGAAAAAAATATGAAGTGTTTTTCTCTCTTTTTAGTCAATACATCTCCAAGAAAATGTGCCACAGCTGGGGAAATCATTGGTTGGTTCATGCCTTCATCTCCCTTCCTTATAACCTCATGATTGCCTTCCAAATGACACCAATCACTGAGGCAAGCTGGACCACAGCCCAGAAATAGTTCCTGCATCTCCTTCATCTGGACAGCTCACACAGCACTGGGGGTTGCGGCTCAGGGTTCTTGCCAGTTATTTCCAGCAGAGGGAACCTAGGGCAATAGGAGCCACATTTTCCAAGCGATTGCCACTAACTGGTAGGGAACCAAACATCCATGGAAGCTGCCACTGCTGTGCTGTAGTTGGTGGCAACGAAGGTCTCGGTGACTCCCACTTCCATCTGACAACAGTAAAGTAGCCTGAATTATACTGCAATAAACCTATGCATTTTAAAGGCAGTTTCACCTAGTGGCTTTGGTCACAAGCTTTATTCACTGTCTCATTGGCCTTGAAATAAAATACTTTTTCCCCTTGGGACTTTATGTACTTCTCCATTTGGGAGAAAGAGAAGGACTGTGTCTTTTTGCTAAGAGGAAGAGTGCACCAAGTAATCCTGTCAACTCGACTCAGAGACTCCTGGAGAGATGACTGGCACACAAGAGCCATCACTTCATCAATGGGTTAGCCCATTGATGAGTTCAAAGCTGATTGGGCTATTAGAAGGTGAGGCCTAGTTGGAGGACACAGATTTTGAACTGAAACCTGTGAAACTGAGCCAAAATCAACCGTTGTCCTTTAGGTTGCAGGTGTCCAGTATTTGTCCCAACAGTGGAAAAGCTGACCAACACAAAGAGGCATTCTTTTTTGTTTTTGTTTCTTTCAAAGAGGCATTCTTATCTTGAGGCCATGGACAAGAGTGGAAATGTCTTCAACCATTAAAAAGATGTAACTTAGAGTGAGCAGAAGAACCACCCAGAGCCAAAGGTAATGCAAGGTAGCTTTCACCTCAGTTGCACTGGAAGGGTTATATGAATACTGACGCAACCATTTGACCTTTTACTTATATAAATATCTTGTTTGCTTAGAATTTTAAAGAACTTTTTATGTTCTCAAGTTTTAAGTCCTCTAGGTGAATGTGCAAACAGGTACAAAATTTTCCTAGCTTTTTTGTGTAATGGGTAGACAGCTGAGATATTTGGATTTAGCATAGAGGAACTGACATACTAGGCAGAATGCGCTAGCATAAATGTTGTTATGTCTACAGCCCAGGTGGTGCCAAAAAATACCTCAAAGATCAAAGGCTAATGAGTCAAGAGACTATGAAACATAGGAGTTGACTTCATTTTGCCCTGAAGAGGAACCAGGCAATTCCAAAGCAACTTTCTATGCCTCCCATACCCGACACACAACATATCCTACCAAGCACTACAGCAACGTGCCCTATATGGCTGCATTTATGTCTGATGAAAGGTAAAGCATGGAAAACAAAGCAAATATTTGTTTTATTTCTCCACTGTCATAAAAGTAGTTTACCATAAAGTTATGGAAGGTAAAAGGACAGTGAAAAAGAAAATTGCAGGGCTGGGGATTTAGCTCAGTGGTTTCACTGCCTGCTGCAAAAGCACAAGGACCGAAGTTCGATCCCCGGTACCAAAAAAAAAAAAAAAAAAAATTACATTTGTTTCTAGAGATTCTCCTAATCCCATGACTTCACTCATGTAATTCCTCAGAATTGGATTCAATATGTAAGAGCAATGACCTTCCTCATGTTAAGTATTCATCCTTGGATAAAACACAAATTTTGACTGGTGTATTTTGGTATTTAGATACGTTTATATTAACAAGGTCTCATGGAAAATTGAATTTAAAATCTGAATTTATCATCTTGTTATTCTCAAATTCAAGCTTTACATTTTGTAGTTTTTTAAAATGATAGCAGGTAAACAAGGACTAACAGTATTTTTAAGAAACAGAATGAGTCTAGAAAATAGAACAGAGACAAGGACTTCAGACTTCTGAGGTCCTTGGGAAAGCAGAGGTGTGTATTCCACAGAGCTCCCTGGAGTCTGACTCCTGTTCACCAGGGGGCAGCACTCTCACCAGTAAGACCAGGAAGGGGAGGGAATGCTGAGAAGAGAGGATCTGCTGTGACAGAGGGCTGGGGAGAGGCAGGCAGAGGAAAAAGAAGCGGAGTACTACTGCTCATGGGCAGAGACAAAGAATGACAGAAAGAGGTGATAAATGGAAGAGGTGTTGCTCTGTAAAAAGGCTAAGTCATTCATGCACCTCTGTTTTTCCAGTTTACCCTTTTGATTGCAAAATTTGCAGGCTTTTATGTCTACAGCCCTGCCTTAGGGGGCAAGTGTCAGGAAATGCTCAGTGAGCAAAACTGCTAACAAAATGGAGGCCCAAAATAATCCCTCTTGGGCCTGTTTCTAGAGTTTAGTCTTCCTGTTGAACAATAAAGTAAGACAAAATTATTGAAAAGGCCTGGAACTTTCCATCAGAGAACAATACCATCCGTCCACATGTAAGCCATGGCAGCATTATTTCAGAGCATGCAGCCCTTGTCCTTCAACTCTCTTCATCTCCAGCTTTTGTTTATGTTCCTACCTGAGCCACAGTGTTCGAGGCCAGTAGGAACTTCCTGAGTGGCCATCTCATCCCAGAATGGGAAGCAAGGTCTTTGCTGGTGATAATTGGACTGGAAATCACAGGGCATTCGAGGATCTTCAAAAGCGCTGATAGGTCCCTGCCTCTGTGTCCAGGAAAGAGAAAATGAAACATATTAGGAGGAAAGCCTCCTTAAATTCACCGTCATTGAACTATGACTTTATACCATCCAATCACATGCAATCAACCATAGAAAATAATACAACATAACCAACTACTCATTAACTCCCCTTCACCACCCAAAATTCACAGGGCATGAGAATTTCCAATTTAAACTATGAGTACATTTATCTTCATCCATTTCTTCATGCATTTGAGGACTCTTTCTCTAATCTTCAAAGGAAGTTCATAGTTAAAAGGAGGGCAGAATAATTTATTTTTTAAATTTATACAATTTAAATTTATACAATCCTGGCCTTTTCTTTCTCTGATATCTTACTGTATAAAAACACCGTGAAAGAATATTCCTGTAAGACATTCCAATAACATAGAACTAGCAGCTGATAAATGCAAAAAGAAAAACAAAAACATGAGATCTACATCATAAATTCCCCTCATTTTCCAATTAGTCAGTAGATATAGGCTTTAATGACATCAGTTACTAGACAAGAACTATTTCCCCCAATATTTGATGATCATGCCACTTTCTTACTAATTTTACAAAATCCATAAAATTTACTATCCCACCCTGCATTAAGACAGACAAACATGATATGTGGAAGGTGATACTTTTTTTCAGTGTTTAAAATTATATCCTTTACAGCCAAATGAAACCAGATATACATAGAGGCAAATCCTGGATCTACCACGTACTGAAGGGAGCCTTGCCTGCTTCTTAATCTAAACCTCAGTTTATTCAGTTATAAAATGGGAATAATAATCCTTACCTCATAGAGCAGAATTGAATAAAATAATATCTATAAGACAACTATATAAAAGTGAGATAAAATATGAAATATATTTAATAAAGTCATGTATCATATAATATACATGCAATAATTACTGTATGTGGAGCTGGTTATCAATGAAAAGTAGGTATTATTTTAATATAAGATTTAATATTCTTCAGATTAGAAAAGTGGGTTAAATATTAAACAAAAAAAGAAACAGCAGATTTGTGGAAACATTTCTTGAGAATAGGAGGCTAATCTGTACTGGGTCATCATCACATTTATTTATTTTTTATTCTCATTCTCTTCTCTTACGGCCCTTCAACTTCCATAAAAACTCCAAGTTAAAAATCAAAACTCTGAAAGAATTTGATGTGATTAAAATTATTGATGGTACTGTAATAGTAAGTGCAGCTCCTAAGGTGCTATTCTCAGCCCACAGAGTAGCTTGCTAACTCCCAATAGGATTCTCTATTTGAAGAGCCTCTTGTGCCTACCCTCTCCTCAAGGATGCAAGAATCCAGCACTATTATGTTAGGTGCAGTTACTCATTGTCTACTATCCCCAGCTTTGCAGTGGTACATCCACTTAATAGCAGTTTAAAAATGCCTTAAAAATATATTGGCATAGGGCTGGGGATTTGGCTCAGTGGCTCCGCTGCCTGCCTTGCAAGCGCAAGGACCCGAGTTCGATCCCCGGTACCAAAAAAATACATATATATATATATATATATAGCATACAGAACATTGATTTAAACCCAAATGGAGAACAAGGTATTGCACATATTATAAAATCTCAACTTGGACCTGTTTTCCATAATATTCATAAGCTTATTTAAATTAGGGCTGTTTTATTGTTTAGATCTGAAAGGTTCCCCCCCAAGTATTTGGATGGTGAGAGGCTCTATGCACATCAGTGGATTCATCCATCAGTGATTTCAGTAGCTGAATGTGCTGTCAGGAGATGGAGCCCGGCTGGAAGTGGGCACTGGGGGTATGAATTGGAAGGGTGTATTCTTTTCCAGGGCTTCTCCCTTCTCTCTGCTTCTAGGCTGTCATGGGATGGACAGCTGTCCTCCACCTGCCCTTCCACCATGCCATGTCTGCCTTGGAGTCAGCCAGCTTTGGTCTGAACCCACTGGAAACTGTACGCCAAATAAACCACACCTCCTTTAAATTGTAGGTGCTAAGTATTTTTTCCCAGTGGTGAGAAAGTAACTAATACAAGCTGGATATATTTTCCTCTTGGATTGTTTATCTTCCAACAGTGCTGGGTGCTGAAGTTACTGAAAATGTAATAACACCTTGAGAACCCAATAAAGATGCCTCGAGTTGTCTTATGTTGGAGACTAACATCACCAGCCTGCTGCTGCTGCTAAGAGGCCAACAGAACTGTGACAGTGTAAGCAGAACACTGGTGGATTTACCAGCTATATGCTTTGGAGACAAGAGATTTAGGTGGGTGATCAGCAAAAATATACTATTGAACTTCTGTCAGAAACTGTTTCCTGAGTTCTGTTTACATCTTATTTTAATACTGTAAGCGCCTCGAATAACTACTCACATTAACTCTGTTGAGTTTGCACAATAAAGGAGTCCTCTTTGAAGGACTCCTTGAAACTGAGTACATTTAAAACACATTTTCTACACATATAAGTCAAACTTGGTACTCTCAGTACCTTTTTCCATCTTTTCTTATTGCTTCAGATCCTTTCAAAATTTAACATCAACATCAAGCATCAGAGTTGGAGGACTAGGGTCTCAAGGGAGGCCATTTTTATTCTAAACGGTATGAAGAGGAGCTTAAAATTTCAAGTTGCTTGCATTTCTTTTCTTTTGAGACACTGTGCATATGGTTTACCTATAGCAGAAGATCCTTGTAAGATGGTAATGGGTAATATAAGTAGGGCCCTTCTTTGTAAGATAGTAGTGGGTGGTATAAGTAGTACCCTGGTAAGATGGTAGTACATAGTATAAGTGAGGGGGTCATGTAAGATAGAGGCAGGTGGTATAAGCAGGATCTTTGCTAAAGGGTAGCAGGTAGTATAAGTAGAATCCTCAAAAGTAGGTAGTGATGGAGAGTTTGTTACAGGACCTACTAAGGTGGTAGATAACTGAAAAGAACTAGAATTCAGAATTAAATGTTTGGATTTTCCCTACTACGGGGAAGCCACTGATAGCAAGGGGTAATATGCAAAGAGGCATTGACAAAAAATGATCTTAGAACAATGTGCAGAAACAAGAGGGAAGACAAAAATGATCTGTTAGCGAGTGGGGTATAAAACAATGACGTTTCAGACCTGGATGATGTTGGTGTAGTTTTATTTTAGCCTAACTCAAAGCTTTTGAATTCTAACTACACATAGTATTAGCTTGATTTTACATGGCTGGCCTTTTTCATGGGGTGGTCTTTGTCTCCAAATGAGGCTCTTTGTGAAAAGGAACAGTTCATTTGGTTTTATAAATAAAACTGTGTATTTTAGGGCATAATTTCTCTCTAACTGTCATCAGTTGAGCCAGAGAACACTGGCGAAACCTGTCTCCAAATTTTTTTAAAAAAGAAAAGAAAGAAAAAGAGAAAAGAATGAGAAGATGATAATATCCAAATCTACCCTAAACCACACACATCTTTGCTGATGGGTGCTCCTCTCCTAAGAAGCTTTTCATGGTTCTGTTATCTCAACACCTGCCTGTTATTAGACATTTCATGAACTGACTTAATAGCTATTTCATAGAGTATGAAAACGACTTTTTTACTCAAAAGAAACACATCACCAGAGTTCCACTTCATTATGAAACCATCTCAGTTGCAGAGAAATAAGCAGGGTATCAGCAGAGTAGAAATCTGCCATGCACAGCCCCCACCTTGCTGCTATATAGGGCACCACCCAAAGCAGGTTCCTGCCCATCGAGTCTCTTTGTTGGCACCTTTCTTTCCTGGCTGCAACTGAAGATGAGTTAGTGAGAGGCAACCAACACATCCAGTCTCTGTGATAGTTTTTAAAAACTGCCTGACAGTTTCTCACGCATTAATCCCACAGGTGATCCTTGAAAGGAACTAACATACATCACACCTGTTGGCGCCAGCTGGCATGCCAAGCTTCACACTGACATGGTCGCATTCAGTCTTTGCCATAATCCAGCAAGACTAGTGTTTCCTCTCTGTTTTGCAGATGAGCCAACTGAGATTTTAGATGGGAAGTAATGCTGCAAAGGCCAAATGGCCAATAAAACAATGGAGGTAGAATTTTATCTCCAGTCTGTTTAACTTCAGATTGTCTTTTCTTCTACCTGTACAACAAGAAGAGCAGCTCAAGATTAGTTTGCTTACAAATGATGGTTATTGTTCTATAATAGGTACTTGATGAATGATGCTCATGTGTTCACGGAGCTAATATGTATGGTATGCCTTGTCTCTGCCCATATTATGTTACATAGATCCTAAGCCACACAACATGAGCAAGAAAGGAGCCACACTCTCAGGATAACACAGACAAGTAAACAGGAAGTTACAATGAGGGGTAGGCCAGGGTTGAGTACCAATGTGTTGGGGAGGGGAAGCAGGGAAGGTTTCTTGGAGGAAGTAGATTAAGATGAGAACTGTAGGGTTGAATAGGATTTGACCTTGAACATTCAGCAAAGGGCCAGAGAGTAAAAGAACAAGAAGATCATAAGATACCTAAAGGTAAAAAAGAACATGCACAAGGCCTGGGGACATAGCTTAGTGGTAGAGTGCTTGTCTAGTATGTGCAAGGCCCTGGGCTCAAACCTCAGCACTCCAAAACAGACAAAGAAGATACACAACTATGTAAAGTGGAACAAGAAAAGGTAGGCATCATAAATGATGAAGACTGTTGTTTGCCAGGGGCTAGCACAAGGGAAAGGCAGGCTCTTATGCACCTAGGACACTTGTAATGGTGGCGAGTAGGAAGAATTAGACCAGTAGGCACAGGGTAAGGCAAGCAATGGATAATACACAGGAATTAGAATTTGGGAGAAAGCCATTGGGGGTTGTGTATGTGACAAGGTGGATCATATGCTCTAGAAAGATCCATTTGATTTCACTGAGTAGGATGGGCAGGGACAGAAGGTAAAGAGGTTGGTCAAGAACAGAGCTCTGCCAAACCATATTAGGCCTGAAGCAAAAAGATACATCAGGTTTACTGACTCCAATTTTATCTAATTTTTAAATTCTT